TAATTATATTTTTTAAAAATTAATATTTATATTCTCGAATGTAATTGAAAAAAAGATAGTTGTAAGCCAATTATAGCTTAGAGCTCAATTAAATAAAACAAATATTTTAACTACAGTAGTCTTTAATGGTAGTGAATTGAAATTGTAAAAGTAATATTTTACATTTTTCCTTACATACTTTCTGTACGAATATCTATTCTAGAAACTTAAACTTATTTTAGTACAGCACGTCTCATAGTTTCGCCCGCAGGAACCAACTTACATAAAATAATATTTAAGATATTTTTTAAAAATGTAATATATTGCAAGTGTCTTCTTAATGCTTAAATCTAACATGGAATAATTTTCTCTTCGTAATAAGTTTAGTCGTAGATAGTTACTTCACGATAGCTACAGTAAGAGTAAAAAGCAAGACGACATAAGCATTAAACGATACAAGCTTGAGTGACATGTTTAGCCATATTAAATTTTACGATGACTTTCATATTTGAAACTTTTAAATAATCTACTTTTATGAAAAAAAATATCACTTGTAGTAAATCATATGGTCTTATACCTTGCGTATTCTCATCATAAGTTACGTTACATTATATGTATAACATCTTATAAATTTAATATTGCAAAACTTTATAAAACTCTAAACTAGAGTGACGGTGTTTCGTACGCTACAACGCTGTAACGAAATTATAAGAAAAGAATAATTTGGCATTTGTACAAAATCAAATCTATATATAACAATAACAAATATATATTAATTAAAAAATATTTACTTTAACGACTTGAATTTCTTTAATCAAACATCTTCTAAAAATTAACGTTGTTCTTATAAAGTGAAATGAAAAAAATATAATAGTCGATGTAGCTACATTTTAGAATCAATTTAAATGAAAAAACAAATGTATTTACAATAGTCATTAATAAATTTAATGTGTTAAAGTAATGATTTTATTTATATTTTTATCTTTACTTTCTGTGTGAATATCCGTTCTAGAAACTGAACCTCATTTTGGCACAGCACAATTCATAGTTTTGTCCATAAATAGGTAATTTACTTACATTAGAAGGTATTTAAAATATCTTTTACAAACGTAATATATTGCAGAAGTGTCACTTAATTCTAACATAAAATAATTTTGTCTTTATATTAAATTTAGTCAACAGTTACATCACAATAGCTATAACAAGAGTGAAAAGCGTTAGACGACAAGAGCATTAAACGACACGAGCTTAGTGACACTGTTAGCCATATTCGTATTAAGTTTTACTAAGATATTTAATATCTGATACTTTTAAAGACCATTCTGCTTTTACGAAAAAGATATTACTTATAATAAATCTTATGGTTTCATAACTCGAATACTGCAATCATAAGGTACGTTACATATCGGACATCGGTTAGTTTCTAAACGTTCAATGCATTCCAAACAACAAGCAAGATGACCGCAAGGTACAAAAGCGTGTGTTCGTTCATTAGTGTAACAAATCGTACAAACGTCAGAGGCAGAATCTTCTTTGGATGTATCTTGCCGAGACCAATCCACAGTATGAAATGGAACATCTTCTCTAGCACTACTATCATTTGTGTTTGTGGATGAAAGCCAATATCCGTAATCATCTTCCGGAACTTCGTATATTAACGGATCTATAAACATAGAGAGAAAGAAGGATAAGAATATTATATGTAGATTTATATAAGAGATTGACTTAAATTTTATATCTTCAAGCAGTTTGTGTTAGTAAGTAATTTTATTACCTTGAGTATTTGTGATTTCAATGTCTGAATCAGTGTCTGCATCAGAAGTAACATCAATCACCCCAGATTCCTCGTGTTGCATCATTTGCGTCGTTTGTGCTATTGTTGCTATCTCTTCTATATCAGAATAATTATCTTGGTCTAGAAATAAAAGATTAATTTTAATTTGCGTATTTTTGCTTAAATGTTTTAAAACATACAAAATAGTAAGAGATACACAAGCATTACTTGCATTATGATAAAAATTTTCAAAAGTTGCATTTCAAGGTTGTGGAATACGACAAAACTTTTGTTACCTGAAGGTATTCTGGATACGTGCTGCTCTTCCTCTGTTCCAGATGAGTTGTATGTTCGTGTCGAGATTCTCTGCGTCTAACGGTATTTTGTCTTTCTGAAATAAAAATAAAGTGATTTTGAGGTAATTTTTTATATTAATAATTTTAAAATCTTTTTAAAATTAGAATTTTAAAATTATGTTAATTTAAAAAATTTTAACAGTTTTCTGTTTATATAAAATTTTTAATTATATTTTAATAAAATGTAATAATTTTAATAAAATGTAGATCAAATTAAAAGTGTTTAATCGTAAATAATTAAAGGAATTGAAAAAAATATTAAAATTGTAAAGAATTGATACACTTATTTCATTTAAAACATGTTAAGATACAGTCTTCACAAAAAATAGAAAAGATTAAAAAAGATAAGAATATTGTACACAGATCTACATAAGAAAGATAAACTTCATATCTTGAAGCAACTAGAGTTGTATAGTAATATTACCTTGTAAATCTGTAAATTCAGTCTCTGAATTAGAAGCAATATCGATTGCCTGAGATTCCTCAATCAATTGTGCCCTTTGTACTATTGTATGTGTAACTGCTGCCCTGTGCGTCTGAGAAGAATTTTGGCCTAGGAAGAGATTTGTATACATTTTTTTTGTAAATATTTAATACATACGAAATAGTAAAAAAATTGTGAGCATCATTAACATCGTAATAAAAACATTCAAAAAATTACGTTCAAATTTTTAAAATATAACAAAACTTTTGTTACCTGTATTTCTTCTGAATGTATGTTCTTCCTCTGTTTGACTCAATGAATTTGTATGTCGAGATCTTCTTTGTCTAACGTTATTTTGCCTTTCTGAAATAAAAAAAGAAATAATTTGAAGAACGTAAAGTGGACGTAAATTTTAAGCTAAATTTTTTAACATTAATAAGTGTTTTATTAAATGTAATATTTATATCGTAACATTATCATATTAATTTAGAAAATTTTAGCAGTTTACTGTAAATCTAAAATTTAACTAATTTATTTAATCTTTAAATTTTTTAAATCTTTAAATAATTAAAGAGTCAAAGAAAAAGTTATTTTTAAATTATAAATAAATAGTATCCTTAATAAAAAATAAAATAACATTTACCTGCTTGAAGTATTGTGTCTAAATTTTCTGTGAATAACCCGATCTGAAGCTTGTATAATGTCATTTGATGATTCAGCAGCTAAAG